TACTCTACTGAATATACTATACTATACTCTACTCTACTCTACTCTACTCTACTCTACTATTCCACGTACGTACTGTACTGTACTACATACTCTACTTACTTACTCTACTCACTCTACTCTACCTCTACTCTACTGTACTCTACTGTAATATACTATACTATACTATACTCTACTCTACTCTACTCTACTCTACTCTATTCTACTGTACTGTACTGTACTCTACTCTACTCTACTGTAATATACTATACTCTACTCTACTCTACTATACTCTACTGTACTGTACTCTACTCTACTCTACTGTAATATACTCTACTCTACTCTACTCTACTCTACTCTACTCTACTATACTCTACTCTACTCTAATCGACTCTACTCTACTCTACTCTACTCTACTGTACTGTACACAAAGAAGCCATAACCTTCATAGCATTATAGTATTATATAGTATTTCAACAATGACTGCACAATATATTGAGGAAATTGCAACTGCATTATATTATCTACTTATAAACATCTTCAGCAATCGTTTTAGAGAGAACACACACACAGACTAGATAAGATCTCTGCTAGGACCATTCAGAGGCTTTCATGTGCCAGCTCTGTCTAGGTATTCGAAGAAGCCGAGATGATGATGATGACGATGATGGTGATGAGCCTAACACATGGACCTGTCGTCCGTCTACCCTGGTGATGCTCCTCTCATCCAGACAGCAGTAGATGACCACAGAGCCAGACTCCAAACAACAGAGCTGCTGATGAACACTACCCAATTGGAGCTTTATGTCAAGTCAGCCAGTCTTTCTGTTAGTGAAGGGGGAATAGACCTCATTCCATTTGTATAAAAACATATAATTCCATGGAACTGTTGCCAGATAGTATATCCCATAGTCTATATTCTAACATTTTACAACATTATGTTGGGACGAGATTTTGGGCAAAGTTCATGCCACCAGAAATGTAGTGTCCCTCACGTCAGGCTATTGTCTGTTGGGCTACAGTGCCCTCTAGTGGCTCAAAGGAGAAATTAGAAAATGATTACTACGTGGGATTACATACAGATGCTGGGAGAAGACTACAGAGGTTTGGACAAAAGAGTAACACAGAGTTAAGATCAGTAAACTTTTAAGTTTCTTCTCAGGGATTGCCTCATTAAAAAGATCTACCACCTGAGAGAGCGAGAGAGTTGGCATTGAGGTCCTCCTCGCCATTTCCCAGAGGCCTTTGCTTCTCTAGCCTCATACATTTACATTTTAGTCACTTAGCAGACGCTCTTATCCAGAGCGACTTACAGTTAGTGAATACATTTTTATTTATATTTTATACTGGCCCCCCGTGGGAATCGAACCCACAACCCTGGCATTGCAAACGCCATGCTCTATCAACTGAGCTACATCCCTGCCGGCCATTCCCTCCCCTGTGGTCCTCTGTAGCTCAGCTGGTAGAGCGCGGCGCTTGTAACGCCAGGGTAGTGGGTTCGATCCCCGGGACCACCCATACACAAAAATGTATGCACGCATGACTGTAAGTCGCTTTGGATAAAAGCGTCTGCTAAATGGCATCTTATTATTATTATTATTACCCTGGATGACGCTGGCCCAATTGTGCGCCGCCCATGAGTCTCCCGGTCGCGGCCGGCTGCATCATCAATGGTTAACATCTTTATCATTTCTGAGAGGATGATTGATCCACTTCTGACTTCGAAACGATTTGGCTTGTTGGTTAGTTCTGAATCGTGTGATCTCAAGTCCAAATGGTCTCTTTCTCGCTCTGATTCAAAACCAGACTAACAAACACAACTAATCAACCTTCACTTAAAATCTAAACAGATAGGACATACCTCTGACAGGACATGCCTCTGATAGGACATACCTATGATAGGACATACCTATGATAGGACATACCTCACATAGGACATACCTCTGACAGGACATACCTATGACAGGACATGCCTATGTGACGATGTCACTGTCTTCCCAAGCTCTTCTGTGTGCGTGCCTGCGTGCCTGCACTTACCCATTGCGGCCCAACTAATCGGGAGGGTGGGAACATCACTGAGGGATGCCAGGGGCCAAATTAACAACCTAAAATAGCTCAGCATGGGGGAAAAGAAAAGAGATCCCATTCCTTCTGCTCATTTTTGGGGTTCTCAAAATAATTCCCAGGCCTATTTTTGGGGCCATTTTGAGTTGAGATCAATCCGTCCGGCACAAAGCAAAGAGCCAAACTTATGAAAGAAGACATTTCTGGGATCAAGCGGTTGGAGCAACTAGAAAGGAAATGAATGTGAAAATGATATATTTGGAATAAGGGGACTGTTCCCCTAACAGACATGGTGGGATGGTGGAGGACCCATATACCTAGAGGGATGACAACCACACAAGGAGGAAATTATTATTTAATTTAGACGACTGATCACTAGCATAGTATCACAACAACAAAAAACATTGCAAGATCCTGCAGAGACTGGCTAAGGAGCTACAGTATATCAATTTACATCAGAAAAAAACAGAGACTCCTTGAGAAATCAATGTGGTTTAGCTTTCCTTTCCAGGTAACTGTGGTTCATCTTTTCTTTCCAGATAACTGTGGTTCAGCTTTCCTTTCCCAGATAACTGTGGTCAGCTTTCCTTTCCCAGATAAATGTGGTTAGCTTTCCTTTCCAGATAACTGTGGTTAGCTTTCCTTTCCCAGATAACTGTGGTTAGCTTTCCTTTCCAGATAACTGTGGTTCCGCTTTCCTTTCCAGATAACTGTGGAGATAAAGGAGGCAACACTATGTGTGTGTGTGTGTGTGTGTGTGTGTGTGTGTGTGTGTGTGGTGTGTGTGTGTGTGTGTGTGTGTGTGTGTGTGTGTGTGTGTGCAGACACTATAGTGACAAAGTGGAAAGATGTTTAAAAATAAATACAGAAATATCTAATTGACTTTAAGGACACATGGAAAACACTGTATTCATGCCAAAACAAACATACAGTACTTATTTGGACATTGCTGAATGTTTCATATTACTATGCGTACCGGTGGTAAATGTGAAATGCAATTACAGCCCTATGATTGGGTCTAGACTAAAGTTCAATCTGACCTTTGACCGTAGAAGGGGTCTGAGAAATTTAACCAGCCAGTGGATACAGTATATTCTAGGAGTAAAGAGGAAATTATGCTGAAAAAACATACACACTAAAAATAAATATAAATACAAGAACTTTGAGGACCTGCAAATAAAACACGCCGGAAAGATCTTCGTGGATCACGGTTTGAGGTTACTGAGTGTGCGGTAATCCTGGGGAGAAAGATGGACTAATTTGGAAACTCTCTAATGGAATAATGTCCCTGGAATTTCTAGTAAAAGTGGATTTTGTGGTTGCGTCCCCAAATTACACCCTATTCCCTTTATAGTGCACTACGTTTGATCAGAGTCCATTGGGGTGTAATTTGGGACTCAGACTTTGTCTTTGGTTCAGCTGTTGGGGACCAAGTCCATCTATCCTCGATGGTGCAAATGACATGCACATAGGGTCTTGTATCGTTTACTAATTTATCTAGAAAGGAAATAAAAATGAAATAAACGCTTCGCAATGAAGTAGTATTATGAGCACAGATAACAAGGATAACACAGGATAACATGGAATCCCGTGTAGCTCAGTTGGTAGAGCATGGCGTTTGCAACGCCAGGGTTGTGGGTTCGATTCCCACGGGGGGCCAGTATGAAAACGTATGCACTCACTAACTTTAAGTCGCTCTGGATAAGAGCGGCTGCTAAATGACTAAAATGTAAATGGATAGCTTTGGTCTGGTTCGTTTCACTTTACAATACCTTTGATTTTCCACTAGAGGGCGAACTGTCTCTTTCAACAGGACAGGAGCAGCAGTGGATCGTGCCAGGTTCATTACTGATGCCGATTCTGCCATTTTCATCTGACAATGATTAACGCAATCAGATCAATAAAATTACCCGATGAGTAATTGTATGCTATCAAAGTAGGCTACAAGCAAGCAGCATTGGTAAAAGTAATAATAAAGTAATATAACTAAACTTTATCACTTCAAACGATTAAAAAAATATATAAAATATGATAAACGTTTGGAATTACATATGCTATGACACATTCTATTGAACTGATGATAGGTTTTATCTGAGATTTTTATTTATTTTTTGTCATTTAGCAGACGCTCTTATCCAGAGCGACTTACAGGAGCAATTAGGGTTAAGTGCCTTGCTCAAGGGCACATCGACAGATATTTCACCTAGTCGGGTCGGGGATTAGAACCAGCGACCTTTCGGTTAATGGCACTATGCTCTTAACCACTAAGCTACCTGCTAGATGTGAGAACTTCTACACAGAATAGAGTTACGGTTATGGGATAGATAACATGTGGTCCCTCCTCCATCAAAACGTCACAGCTTTCCGTATAAAACAAACGTGATCCCGTGCTGAAGGCGCATAGCTCTGCAACGCGACTTTAGCAGGGCACTGTCAGGAGAAGGTGCGTGCGGGTCAGAGGCAAGTGGCACGAAGTTGTTTATGACAAAAAAAAAGGAAGGATGCACAGTTGTGAGGCGAGTCGGGCGACCTAAGTGAAAGAAAAGCGTTGAAAAGAAGAATGAGAAAGAAAAGTCAATAGGCGGTATGCATTCAGTTACTAGAATGATGATGGAGACCGTTATTGCACTGGGTAGATTTTAGGTTGACCCGTGCTGGGGAATTTATTCATTTGGAAGGGCTGTGCGATTGATGTCTAATGGCTGAATACACAGCTGGATTTCTATGGATCACAAACCAACGAAAATGGATTTCCTCGGGAGAGGACATACGTGTATGAAGAAGCCAAATGAAAGTGCGAGAAAATAGTTTGTAAACTGCTATGAAGTTGATTTGAAAGTTTTAAACATACTTTTACGCGTAGGAGCCTTGGGAAATAGTCGCTGGTGTGAATCTGTTATTAGACTATTTCGTTTACCGAAGTGCTTCCCAAACCAAATGCCTCATTGAGAAACAGAAACATGTATCTCGGTAAAGCTCTTCTGTTTGTCTTACTCCTAAACTGCGCGACCACCAGTCTGTCTCTGTCAACCTGCGCCACGGTGGATATCGATCATGTGAAGCGGAAGAGGTTCGAGGCGATACGGGGACAGATACTGAGTAAACTCCGGCTGACCAGCCCGCCACACTCCCTGGGACCCAGTCAGGTCTCCTACCAGATCCAGTCGTTGTATAACAGTACCAGGGAGCTTCTAGAAGAGTTGGGAAGAGACAGGCAGCAAAGTTGCGGCCAAGACAACACGGAGACCGAATATTATGCCAAAGAGATATACAAATTCAACATGGTCCAGGGACCGCCAGAAAACAGTAGGCTAAATCGTGTTATGTTTTTTTTATTTTTTTTTCATTTTAAATGCTATTTTGGTTGATAAGCTAATTTCTATTATTATTTTTGTGTGAAACTCTTTTTTTTTGGATGGCAGTTGGGTGCTCCATAATGCACGAGATCAATGAATAGAGAGCGTGCCGAATGCGTAATTTGGGAAACTAGCGCGTGATCACAAGAGGGAGGGCAGTGAAACTCCTAAAAAGAGTGGTTTATCTAGTAGTCATGACGATGATATTGCATGTATGGAGTGTGTGGATAGGATATAGTAGACTAGGGTTTCCCGAACTCGGTCCTCGGGACCCCAAATGGGTGCACGTTTTGGTTTTTGCGGTAACACTACACGGCTGATTTTAAAATGTTAAAAGCTTGGTGATTTTAATTGATTATTTGAATCAGCTGTGTGGTGCAAAAACCAAAACGTGCACCCGTTGGTGTCACGAGGACCGAGTTTGGGAAACCCTGCAGTACACAGATGGAATGTCTCAGAAACTATATCTGTTGACGTTGCCTTAGATAAGATCGCCTTAGATGTGCTAACTTCATTTCAGTTCACTTTATTGGCCTTATTCAGGAATGTGTCTAGGACTTCAGTGAGATGTGGGAGTAGTAGAAGCTATGTTGTGGATTAACCTGGAAATTGCCTCAGCACTTTCCCCAACCTATTGCAATCCAGAGGACTAGTGTTTTGTGTAAAGTCTATCTCCTCCTCTATCTCCTACCTCTGACACATGCCACTACTCCCAGCTATTCCAACCGACCTATCCAGGCGACCAACGCCTGCAACGAACAGCCGAAAACCGCCGACCAACGCACTACCAACTGACGAACACAACGCGCACCTGCCTCGAGTCACTCGTCCACAGGTCCACACCGCCCCGACCGCGCAGACCCGACCACGCCGCGGCCACCCGCCCAGCGCCGCGCCACTGCCGCACCGCCGCACAGCGCCAGAGCGCCGACGGCCCACGCCCAGCCACGCCACACACCCGCACGCCGCGCGGCCACACAAGCCAAGCGCCACCCGCGCGACGACCTGCCGGGCCCACGCCGCACGGCGCCGAACGCCGCCGACGCAAGCCGGGCCAACGACGCGAAGACGCCGACGCGCCCACGCCGCCGGCGCACAACACCGAGGGGCACAGCCGCCAAGCAGCAGCCGAGGCACCAACGCCGACGACGCGCCGCGGCGCAAGCGCGCGCAACACGCGCGCGGCCAAACCGCAGGACACGCAACGACAAAGGAAGACCATCACCCTTCAAGCACACACAACCCAACCATCCAGCCCAACCACAACCAGCCACTCCCCATTCACCATACCTACACCCTCTCCCAATCCCTCTTCCCACTCCTCCTCTTCCCACACCCCCTCCACCTCCTCTTCCCTCCTCATTTTCTCCATGGACCCAGTCCCTCTCCCCAGATGTGTCCGTTTCCGTTTCAGCCAGGCCCAAATGAGAGGGACATCTGCCCAGGCTGATTGGAACGGGGAGGGGGAAGGGGAAGCCTTGCTGAGGGGGACAGGAACAGTTAACATGGGGGGACGGGAACAGTTAACATGGGGGGACGGGAACAGTTAACATGGAGGGACAGGAACAGTTAACATGGGGGGACAGGAACAGTTAACATGGAGGGACAGGAACAGTTAACACGGAGGGACAGGAACAGTTAACACGGAGGGACAGGAACAGTTAACACGGAGGGACAGGAACAGTTAACATGGAGGGACAGGGACAGTTAACACGGGGGGTACGAGGAACAGTTAACACGGAGGGACAGGAACAGTTAACACGGAGGGACGGGAACAGTTAACACGGGGGGGGGACGGGAACAGTTAACACGGAGTGACGGGAACAGTTAACACGGAGGACAGGAACAGTAACATGGAGGGACAGGAACAGTTTAACATGGGGGGATGGGAACAGTTAACATGGAGGGACAGGAACAGTTAACACGGGGGGACAGGAACAGTTAACACGGAGGGACAGGAACAGTTAACACGGAGGGACAGGGACAGTTAACACGGGGGGACAGGAACAGTTAACACGGAAGGGACGGAACAGTTAACACGGAGGGACGGGAACAGTTAACACGGGGGGACGGGAACAGTTAACACGGTAGGGACGGGAACAGTTAACACGAGGGGACAGGAACAGTTAACATGGAGGGACAGGAACAGTTAACATGGGGGACGGGAACAGTTAACACGGAGGGACTGGAACAGTAATTACACGGGGGGACAGGAACAGTTAACACGGAGGGACAGGAACAGTTAACACGGAGGGACAGGAACAGTTAACACGGAGGGACAGGAACAGTTAACACGGAGGGACAGGAACAGTTAACACGGAGGGACAGGAACAGTTAACACGGAGGGACAGGGACAGTTAACACGGAGGGACAGGAACAGTTAACACGGAGGGACAGGAACAGTTAACACGGGAGGGACAGGAACAGTTAACACGGGGGACAGGAACAGTTAACACGGAGGGACAGGAACAGTTAACACGGAGGGACAGGAACAGTTAACACGGAGGGACAGGAACAGTTAACACGGAGGGACAGGAACAGTTAACACAGAGGGACAGGAACAGTTAACACAGAGGGACAGGAACAGTTAACACGGAGGGACAGGAACAGTTAACACGGGGGGACGGGAACAGTTAACACGGGGGGACGGGAACAGTTAACACGGAGGGACGGGAACAGTTAACACGGAGGGACAGGAACAGTTAACACGGAGGGACAGGAACAGTTAACACGGAGGGACAGGAACAGTTAACACGGAGGGACAGGAACAGTTAACACGGAGGGACAGGAACAGTTAACATGGAGGGACAGGAACAGTTAACACAGAGGGACAGGAACAGTTAACACGGAGGGACAGGAACAGTTAACACGGAGGGACAGGAACAGTTAGCAGATGGAAGGACATCCTCCATTCCTTAGCCTGGCTTAGACGGATCAGAGATCCACTCCCCACCCTATTCCCTATCATCTCACCTACATATCTCCCCTAGAGGCCCTGGTCTAAAGTAGTGCACTATGTACGGAATAGGGAGCCATTTGGGAAGCAATCCACTTTCTGCCCTGTGGGGAGGCTTGGCTGGGACTTCACCCTCCCTTTCCTTCACTCTGTCTCGGTCTTAAAAGTGACAGGAGAAGTTGGCTGATGGAATGGACCTCCCTCCTCTTTAGCCTGGCTTAGATAGCGTCCCAAATGGCACCCTATTCCCTATGTAGTGCACTACTACCCCATAGGAGCCTCATCAAAATTAGTGCACTACATAGGGAATAGGGTGCTATTTGGGATGTAAACAAAGGGATCCCTGATCACCCCTTCCCTCCACACACTGACAGCCCCAGGGGAGATTTGGCTAATGGCTGGGTGTAGAGTTCCTCCACTGGGCTGTTAAATGTAGCAATCTTGGATGTCGGATCCCATCCCATCGCCTACACACACTGTTTGCCTGCTCCGTGCCAGGGGAAGTTTGGCTAGGGCTTTAGTCAGTTCTTCCACACTGGAGTGGTTGGCGTTAACAGTGCACTCTCTCTCGCCTCACCTGGCCCTGTGGCCCTTGCATGGTGCATTCCACCTCAGTGGAGAGACGTGAAGTAAACAGATCCTCCTCTGGTGTGTGTGAGTGAGAGAGATACCTCCTCTGGAACTTTGGGACACAGTTAATCTTCTTCATCATCATCATCATCATCATCAGTTGGATTGTTCCAGCCTCAGACGTTTGAATTTTATAGCCTGCAGCTAACTCTTTTTATACAGCAGCACAGACAGTATGGGCCCAGGCTATGAATCTAGTGATTTAAATATGAGAAAACCCCTTCACTCAGGTTCTTTATGGTCAGTTTTCTTATTCATATTTTATAGCATTATTATTGGCACCAGCACCAGTCACATTACACTTACTGTACTGCTTTACGGTCGCAGCCAAACCTAAAATATGCGCCATAAAAAAAAAACATTATGATTTCAGTTGAGCTGGCCATTAAGTGTACCGCAATGGAAAAGTCCTACAACTACAGCTGGTAACGTTTGGTGGACATCAGGGCATAACGTTATGAAATGTCTGTAGTGGTCCAGGACCACACTGATATCGACACATGTCAATACTTTGAGGGGATTCAGCAATATGAGGTCTGAGTCACAATTTCTGAGAAGAGAGAGAGAGGGATATAGCGAGGGTTAGCGTTTTTAAGTGTGTAAGAACTGGAAGAAGGCCTTGTGGGTCGACGCAAAGCCTATTGCATCATGGTCCCTATTGCATCATGTTGTAGTAAAATGCCTCCCCCTCTCTCTCTCCATCTTTCTCTCTCTCTCTCTCTCTCTCTCTCTCTCCTCTCTCTCTCTCTCTCTCTCTCTCTCTCTCCCCCTCTTTCTCTCTCTCTCTCCCTCTCCCCCTCTCGCTCCCCCTCTCGCTCCCTCTCTCGCTCTCTCTCTCGCTCCCCCTCTCGCTCTCTCTCTCGCTCCCCCTCTCGCTCCCCCTCTTTCTCTCTCTGTCTCTCTCTCTTGTTCCCCCTCTCTCTCCCTCCATCTCTCCCTCATAGCTCTGTGTTGGATCATACAAAGTGGTCCTGACAACACACAGCAGGGACAGATTGCCACTGATTATTCCTTTACCTCCTATTTTCTGAAGCCCAAAAATACTTACAATGTAAACAAACATAATGAGTGAGGTATATTGAGGAGGCTCCAGGGTGAAGTTTCCTCTACGGGACAGATCTGGGATCAGCTTCCCATCCCTCAATCCTAACATTAACAATTAGTGGGAAAAATGCACAACTGAACCAAGATCAGTGTCTAGGGGGCAACGTCACCCTACTCCCATTTAGGATACACCATTCCTCTTGTTTACAAAGCTCTGCCTCCTCCAGAATAGACATAACATTACAGGTTTTTTCCCTGGGGTCAAAGGTCAAACTATATTAATGATCCCAATCAATATTGATTAATGATCTTCCTCTTTAGCCACTTAGCTCATCCTAATAAACTATTATCCCATGTAGTATATAGAAAAGGTGACAATAGTCATCTATACAGGATAGGTCCAGTTTAGATTGACTGAATATTCAATATGAAGACTTTCAAAATTATAATACTCCGTATGAAAAGACAGTGGTCAAACCGACCAAAATGAAAGAGTCACATAATCTCATACTTGGTGTGGTTGAGAAGCTTTTTTTTTTTTTTTTTTTATCCTTTATTTAATCAGAGAGGTCACATTGAGATTTCCATCTCTTTTCCAGGTGAGCTCTGGCCAAGAGAGCTGCATACACATAGAAAACACAGGAGACACAACACAACATAAAAGATAACTATAAATGAAAGTTAAAAACAGTGCAAAGTGCATAAGAGCTTAAAAGAGCAGGTCACACTTGTCAGTTGTCAATCGCCTCATCATGCATATACAGTATTCACCCCAATGGGACTAATGACATCTGCATACGCTGCTTTCTGGAAGGAGCCAGCAGCCAACAGACCAGACCTCGGGTTTATATATTCTCTGTTGTGCACATCGCCCTTTCCCTCAGCTGGCCTGGCTACAGACTTTTAGACTTCCATTTACCACAGAGAGGAAGAGAGCTAAGCTTTTCGAATGTCTTCCAACTCCAGGAAGCCTGTCTTGGCACTGCTGTAGGAGTTAGTCTTTACACCTGAGAATTTGTAGTGGCTTGAATTACTCAAGAAAACACTGCACACAGGTTCAACATTGTTATAGTGCCATTGGCCAAAATGGCACCCCTGATTGTGGAAAGAAAGAGAGGACATATCATGATGACATTACATCACAGTGTTATGATGAACCTCCCTTTGCCAGGTGCACAAACTTCCTCATATCAAATATCTGAAGTTATATCACCTTGATCAAGGTGCGTTCCACCCTGCTAGATCTGTTTTACTACAGACCAGATCTAGATCTGTTTTACTACAGACCAGATCTCTACTAGATCTGTTTTACTACAGACCAGATCTAGATCTGTTTTACTACAGACCAGATCTCTACTAGATCTGTTTTACTACAGACCAGACTAGCTCTGTTTTACTACAGACCAGACTAGATCTGTTTTACTACAGACCAGATCTCTACTAGATCTGTTTTACTACAGACCAGATCTCTACTAGATCTGTTTTTACTACAGACCAGACTAGATCTGTTTTACTACAGACCAGACTAGATCTGTTTTACTACAGACCAGACTATATCTGTTTTACTACAGACCAGATCTCTACTAGATCTGTTTTACTACAGACCAGACCAGACCAGACTAGATCTGTTTTACTACAGACCAGACCAGACCAGACTAGATCTGTTTTACTACAGACCGAACCAGACTAGATCTGTTTTACTACAGACCAGATCTCTACTAGATCTGTTTTACTACAGACCATATCTCTACTAGATCTGTTTTACTACAGACCAGACCAGACTAGATCTGTTTTACTACAGACCAGATCTCTACTAGATCTGTTTTACTACAGATCAGATCTCTACTAGATCTGTTTTACTACAGACCAGATCTCTACTAGATCTGTTTTACTACAGACCAGATCTCTACTAGATCTGTTTTACTACAGACCAGATCTAGATCTGTTTTACTACAGACCAGATCTCTACTAGATCTGTTTTACTACAGACCAGATCTCTACTAGATCTGTTTTAATACAGACCAGATCTCTACTAGATCTGTTTTACTACAGACCAGATCTAGATCTGTTTTACTACAGACCAGATCTCTACTAGATCTGTTTTACTACAGACCAGACTAGATCTGTTTTACTACAGACCAGACTAGCTCTGTTTTACTACAGACCAGACTAGATCTGTTTTACTACAGACCAGACTAGATCTGTTTTACTACAGACCAGATCTCTACTAGATCTGTTTTACTACAGACCAGATCTCTACTAGATCTGTTTTACTACAGACCAGACTAGATCTGTTTTACTACAGACCAGACTATATCTGTTTTACTACAGACCAGACTATATCTGTTTTACTACAGACCAGATCTCTACTAGATCTGTTTTACTACAGACCAGACCAGACCAGACCAGACTAGATCTGTTTTACTACAGACCAGACCAGACTAGATCTGTTTTACTACAGACTGAACCAGACTAGGTCTGTTTTACTACAGACCAGATCTCTACTAGATCTGTTTTACTACAGACCATATCTCTACTAGATCTGTTTTACTACAGACCAGACCAGACTAGATCTGTTTTACTACAGACCAGATCTCTACTAGATCTGTTTTACTACAGATCAGATCTCTACTAGATCTGTTTTACTACAGACCAGATCTCTACTAGATCTGTTTTACTACAGACCAAATCTCTACTAGATCTGTTTTACTACAGACCAGACTAGATCTGTTTTACTACAGACCAGACCAGACTAGATCTGTTTCAGACCAGACCAGACTAGATCTGTTTTACTACAGACCAGACCAGACTAGATCTGTTTTACTACAGACCAGACCAGTACTAGATCTGTTTTACTACAGACCAGACCAGACTAGATCTGTTTTACTACAGACCAGACCAGACCAGACTAGATCTGTTTTACTACAGACCAGACCAGACCTCTACTGCTTCAGACCAGACCTCTACCGCTTCAGACCACATCTCTACCGCTTCAAACCAGACCTCTACCGCTTCAAACCAGACCTCTACTGCTTCAGACCAGACCTTACTGCTTCAGACAGGACCTTACTGCTTCAGACCAGACCTCTACCGCTTCAGACCAGACCTCTACCGCTTCAGACCAGACCTCTACTGCTTCAGACCAGACCTCTACTGCTTCAGACCAGACCTCTACTGCTTCAGACCAGACCTCTACTGCTTCAGACCAGACCTCTACTGCTTCAGACCAGACCTCTACTGCTTCAGACCAGACCTCTACTGCTTCAGACCAGACCTCTACTGCTTCAGACCAGACCTCTACTGCTTCAGACCAGGACCTCTACTGCTTCAGACCAGACCTCTACTGCTTCAGACCAGACCTCTACTGCTTCAGACCAGACCTGTACTGCTTCAGACCAGACCTCTACCGCTTCAGACCAGACCTCTACCGCTTCAGACCAGACCTCTACCGCTTCAGACCAGACCTCTACTGCTTCAGACCAGACCTCTACTGCTTCAGACCAGACCTCTACTGCTTCAGACCAGACCTCTACTGCTTCAGACCAGACCTCTACTGCCTTCAGACCAGACCTGTACTGCTTCAGACCAGCCCCTCTACCGTTCAGACCAACCCCCCAACCTACCGGCTTCAGACCAGACCTCTACCGCTTCGCCGGGGGGAAGACCTCTACTGCTTCAGACCAACCTCTACTGCTTCAGACCAGACCTCTATTTGCTTCAGACCAACCTCTACTGCTTCAGACCAGACCTCTACGCTTCAAACCAGACCTCAAACTGCTTCAGACCGACCCTACTGCTTCAGACCAGACCTCTACTGCTTCAGACCAGACTCTACCGCTTCAGACCAGACCTCAAACCGTTCAGACTAGACCTCTACCGCTTCAGACCAGACCTCTATGCTTCAGACCAGACCTCTACTGCTTCAGACCAGACCTCTACTGCTTCAGACCGGGACCCCTACGCTTCAGACCAGACCTCTACTGCTTCAGACCAGACCTCTACCGCTTCAGACCAGACCTCTACCGCTTCAGACTAGACCTCTACTGCTTCAGACCAGACCTCTACCGCTTCAGACCAGACCTCTACTACTTCGGACCTCTACTGCTTCAGACCAGACCTCTACTGCTTCAGACCAGACCTTCTACTGCTTCAGACCAGACCTCTACTGCTTCAGACCAGACCTCTACTACTTCCTCAGACCAGAGTAACTGTGAGTCACACCAGGAGAAGTGTTTTAGAGGGAGGTGAGAGACTGAGAGAACCAGCTTCCTGTGTTTGCTGAGAGGCGTATTGCCCAGAAAGTACTGCGGTCAAGCCCTATCTGGCGGACAGATACAGCAAATAGAAGCCGATTCCCGAAACAGTGCATGACTACACTCTCGTCAAAAGTAGTGCGTAGGGAATAGGGTGCCATTTGGGACGGCACTTGGATCTCTCTCTCTCTCTCTCTCTCTCTCTCTCTCTCTCTCTCTCTCGTTGACTCAGAGCCAGTGACATCACTCCTTTCCTTTCCCACCTCTTTAGGATGGTGTGGGCAAACACGTTAGCTCCTGACAGCTCTGCTCAAAGGCTTTAGGTAAACTGTTGACCTTTGGCGGATATAAGGCGAACATTTGCACCTCTCAAATCCCTGAGAGGTGCAAATGAAACAGAACGTTAAGGCGGGAAAGAAAGGCAAGTTGCTGTGTTGGGAGACAGACAGGTTATTTGAAAAGTTTGCTTTTATAGACAGGCTGGGATGGAGGAGTGGAGGGTATGTCCCCTGTAGCTCAGTTGGTAGAGCATGGCACTTGCAACGCCAGGGTTGTGGGTTCATTTCCCACGGGGGGCCAGTATGAAAATGTATGCACTCACTAACTGTAAGTCGCTCAGGATAAGAGCATCTGCTAAATGACTGAAAATGTAGGGGTTGTAGAGAAGTCATCATGTGGTCGGAGCCGAAGGGCTGTGAGTGCTGGGCTGGTTTGTACAGGTCTGGACTGGGTTGGGCTAGCCCTGTATTCACAAACCCAGCGTAGGAGAGCTGATATGAGATTAGTTTGACCTTTTTAGATCATATAGATCATATTGAATAAGATTATATGGACAGAGAGGACCTGATCCTAGATCAGCACTCTTACTCTGAGGGGCTTTCTGAATATGGGCGGAGGTCTGGTCTAGTGGTCAGCACACTGAGGACAGCAGAGGTGACGTCACTCCAAGCCAAACGGGGACGCTACTTCACTTAGAAAATAAATGTTCCCTTTTTCCCCCCCCCCAGCCGCTACCTCAGTTGAGAGGGAGAAAATAGCCCTCTGAATCCGGCTGATGACGGAAGCATGTTATCAGGTTCCATGCCGAAGCCATGTGTAAGTAGTTAATTCAGGAAAGGAGTAAAGTCACTTGAGGGGATTGACTGCGTTACATCGTTAATGATTACGGCCTGTGTCCCAAACGGCATCCTATTCCTTATATATAGTGCACTCCTTTTGACCAGAGCTCTATGGTCCCTGGTCAAAAGTAGTGCACTATATAGGAGATAGGGTGCCGTTTGGGAAGCGGACAATGTGAGCTGCGACTAAACCTGGCGTGGGGGGAAAACAACGGTTGTTGATTCATAGAAAGAAAGCTAGCCGGTCAATTACTGAAGAAGAAGCTCAGCAGGGTTCTTGATGCCAAGTCAGCTACGTTGAGGAGCAAATGTGGCGTCTACTGGACAATGCAGTGGGAAATATCTACCGAGTCAACAGTTGGTTCATCAGTGGTGGTTCAAGGTGAACCTATGCGCACAAGATGTTGAAAAGATGTTGAAAATACATATATGTGGTTGAAAAGACGTCTTTCAAGCAATTTTGATCAATGGGTAGGACGTTTTCTACCACGTAATTTTTTTTTGGGTGTCAATTGCTTGTCTGAGAAAGGTATTAGATGCACATGGACATTCATTCTGGACAAAGCGGACATTTCTTCGGGTAACGGAGGTAACAACGTGTCGTAAGCTCACTCCACAGCTAGCCTGAAATGTCGCGGACGGGGCCCCTCAAGGAAGTACCTTTTGAGTGGCTCAACCAATTGGTAACGTTGTCAAACAGTGCGGTCACGTGTGTTGCGAGGGAGAACCTCCCTGATTCGAGCCAGAAGTCGGACAGCAGGGAGGCTAGCCATTAGCAGGCTAGCCGTTAGCAGCACACTGACCCCCTGTGAAGTTACATTTACATTTTACATTTTAGTCATTTAGCAGACGCTCTTATCCAGAGTGACTTACAGTTAGTGAGTGCATACATTATTTTTTTGTATTTTTTTTAGTTAGCAATGATAACTTCTGTGGTAAAAAAAAAAATCAGTCTAGAGTCCACTGGTTCAGCTTTGTGGTAACTTACAGTCATCTGCATGTTGGTTTGAAAGCAATGTTGTTACTGAGCTGGGTCTCTTCTGACTGTAGAAAGAGGAATTGGCGTGTTCAACAAAGCAAAATTGTAATAACAAAAAGTATTTGGGTGCTGGGTTCAAAAGGCATATACTGGGAAAAAGGAAAATCCTACACTCACTGAAATATTTATGTTTTAATGTATTTTTAAGCAGCAGAGGTCAGCGCAAACGGACACATTTGGGCGGCAGCCTTCAGTGTTTGGAGAACGATAGGCATTCACCAATATTTATAGATGACATCACGTTGTTGTACTGCTTCCTTCTTTTTCCTCCTCTGGCTGTTATAGATGACCTTCCCTACTGCCCTCCTGACTATTATAGGTGACCTTCCCCACTTCCCTCCTGACTGTTATAGGATACCTTCCCTACTGCCCTCCTCTGGCTTTTATAGATGACCTTCCCTACTGCCCTCCTCTGACTGTTATAGGATACCTTCCCTACTGCCCTCCTCTGGCTTTTATAGATGACCTTCCCTACTGCCCTCCTGGCTGTTATAGGATACCTTCCCTACTGCCCTCCTCTGGCTTTTATAGATGACCTTCCCTACTGCCCTCCTCTGACTGTTATAGGATACCTTCCCTACTGCCCTCCTCTGGCTTTTATAGATGACCTTCCCTACTGCCCTCCTCTGACTGTTATAGGATACCTTCCCTACTGCCCTCCTGACTGTTATAGATGACCTTCCCTACTGCCTTCCTGACTGTTATAGATGACCTTCCCTACTGCCCTCCTGACTGTTATAGGTGACCTTCCCTACTGACCTCCTTACTGTTATAGGTGACCTTCCCTACTGCCCTCCTTACTGTTATAGGTGACCTTCCCTACTGCCCTCCTCTGACTGTTATAGGTGACCTTCCCTACTGCCCTCCTGACTGTTATAGGTGACCTTCCCTACTGCCCTCCTCTGACTGTTATAGGATACCTTCCCTACTGCCCTCCTGGCTGTTATAGGTGACCTTCCCTACTGCCCTCCTCTGACTGTTATAGGATACCTTCCCTACTGCCCTCCTGGCTGTTATAGGTGACCTTCCCTACTGCCCTCCTCTGGCTGTTATAGATGACCTTCCCTACTGCCCTCCTGACTGTTATAGATGACCTTCCCTACTGCCCTCCTCTGGCTGTTATAGATGACCTTCCCTACTGCCCTCCTCTGACTGTTATAGGATACCTTCCCTACTGCCCTCCTGGCTGTTATAGGTGACCTTCCCTACTGCCCTCCTGACTGTTATAGGTGACCTTCCCTACTGCCCTCATCTGGCTGTTATAGGTGACCTTCCCTACTGCCCTCCTGACTGTTATAGGTGACCTTCCCTACTGCCCTCCTCTGACTGTTATATGTGACCTTCCCTACTGCCATCCTGACTGTTATAGGTGACCTTCCCTACTGCCCTCATCTGACTGTTATAGGTGACCTTCCCTACTGCCATCCTGACTGTTATAGGTGACCTTCCCTACTGCCCTCCTCTGACTGTTATAGGTGACCTTCCCTACTGCCATCCTGACTGTTATAGGTGACCTTCCCTACTGCCATCCTGACTGTTATAGGTGACCTTCCCTACTGCCCTCATCTGGCTGTTATAGGTGACCTTCCCTACTGCCATCCTGACTGTTATAGATGACCTTCCCTACTGCCCTCCTCTGGCTGTTATAGATGTCATTCCCTACTGCCCTCATCTGGCTGTTATAGATGTTTCCCTACTGCCCTCACCAAGTGATCAAGCATTTCTGATCTCTTTCTTCTCTCCTCCTCTCTCTTACAGAAGACCTGCCCGACTGTGCTAAGGGTATTAACATCACAGTGTTGAAGCATTACTGAGCGCTGTCCTGCTATGCCTGTTTCTTGCAAATACACTGCCCTAGTGTCTGTCTCCAACAACCTGCCCTACTGTCTGTCTCCTCTCTGTCTCCAACAACCTGCCCTAGTGTCTGTTCCAACAACCTGCCCTAGTGTCTGTCTCCAACAACCTGCCCTACTGTCTGTCTCCTCTCTGTCTCCAACAACCTGCCCTAGTGTCTGTCTCCAACAACCTGCCCTAGTGTCTGTCTCCTCTCTGTCTCCAACAACCTGCCCTAGTGTCTGTTCCAACAACCTGCCCTACTGTCTGTCTCCAACAACCTGCCCTACTGTCTGTCTCCTCTCTGTCTCCAACAACCTGCCCTAGTGTCTGTCTCCAACAACCTGCCCTACTGTCTGTTCCAACAACCTGCCCTACTGTCTGTCTCCAACAACCTGCCCTACTGTCTGTCTCCTCTCGGTCTCCAACAACCTGCCCTAGTGTCTGTCTCCAACAACCTGCCCTAGTGTCTGTCTCCAACAACCTGCCCTACTGTCTGTCTCCTCTCTGTCTCCAACAACCTGCCCTAGTGTCTGTCTCCAACAACCTGCCCTACTGTCTGTCTCCAACAACCTGCCCTACTGTCTGTCTCCAACAACCTGCCCTACTGTCTGTCTCCAACAACCTACCCTACTGTCTGTCTCCTCTCGGTCTCCAACAACCTGCCCTAGTGTCTGTCTCCTCTCTGTCTCCAACAACCTGCCCTAGTGTCTGTCTCCAACAACCTGCCCTACTGTCTGTTCCAACAACCTGCCCTACTGTCTGTCTCCAACAACCTGCCCTACTGTCTGTCTCCTCTCGGTCTCCAACAACCTGCCCTAGTGTCTGTCTCCAACAACCTGCCCTAGTGTCTGTCTCCAACAACCTGCCCTACTGTCTGTCTCCTCTCTGTCTCCAACAACCTGCCCTAGTGTCTGTCTCCAACAACCTGCCCTACTGTCTGTCTCCAACAACCTGCCCTACTGTCTGTCTCCAACAACCTGCCCTACTGTCTGTCTCCAACAACCTACCCTACTGTCTGTCTCCTCTCGGTCTCCAACAACCTGCCCTAGTGTCTGTCTCCAACAACCTGCCCTACTGTCTGTCTCCAACAACCTGCCCTACTGTCTGTCTCCAACAACCTGCCCTACTGTCTGTCTCCTCTCTGTCTCCAACAACCTGCCCTAGTGTCTGTCTCCAACAACCTGCCCTACTGTCTGTCTCCAACAACCTGCCCTACTGTCTGTGTCCAACAACCAGCCCTACTGTCTGTCTCCTCTCGGTCTCCAACAACCTGCCCTAGTGTCTGTCTCCAACAACCTGCCCTACTGTCTGTCTCCAACAACCTGCCCTAGTGTCTGTCTCCAACAAACTGCCCAACTGTCTGTCTCCTCTCGGTCTCCAACAACCTTCCCCACTATCTCCAATAACCTGCCCTACTCTCCCAATGTCATCACCTCCAACTAGTCCATTGGTTAAGATTTGTAGGAACATAATCTGGTTCATTGTGACTGACTGTGGTCTCTTCTCTCTGTCCTACAGATGACCTTCCCTACTGTCCTAAAGGCGTCACCTCCAAAGTGTTCCGTTTCAACGTGTCGGCCATGGAGAGGAACTCCACCAACCTGTTCCGAGCAGAGTTCCGTGCTCTCAGGGTTCCAAACTCTGCTGCCAATAGGAACGAACAGAGGGTGGAGCTTTACCAGGTATGTGAAAGGTACCCTCCGTCTCTGCATGTCCTTCAGAGATCTTCAACTCCACCTGACAACGATAAGTCTTTCCTCCTAGTTTCATTTCGAGGCAGGGCACCCAAAGGCCCGCAGAGCAACATCCAGGTCATCAGGCATCAACACGGGGTTACGTCCCAAATGGCACCCTATTCCCTATATAGTGCACTACTTTTGACCAGATCCCTATTGGTCCTGATCAAAGGTAGTGTACTGTAAAGGGAATAGGGCGCCATTTGGGATGTAAGACTTGTCAATTGATACTGCTAGAAGTCAAGCTCTTTAGGCAGGGGTCAAAAGAGTATGTGAGGGAGGCTCCTGGTAGAGGAAGCACAGTGCCCCAAGGCTCCTGGTAGAGGAAGCACAGTGCCCCAAGGTTCCTGGTAGAGGAAGCACAGTGCCCCAAGGCTCCTGGTAGAGGAAACACAGTGCCCCAAGGTGTGAGGGAGGCTCCTGGTAGAGGAAACACAGTGCCCCAAGGCTCCTGGTAGAGGAAGCACAGTGCCCCAAGGTGTGAGGGAGGTTCCTGGTAGAGGAAGCACAGTGCCCCAAGATGTGAGGGAGGTTCCTGGTAGAGGAAGCACAGTGCCCCAAGATGTGAGGGAGGTTCCTGGTAGAGGAAGCACAGTGCCCCAAGGCTCCTGGTAGAGGAAGCACAGTGCCCGAAGATACTTCATGCACCGTCACCTCCCAGGCATAATTTTTTTTTAAAGATCTGCAATTCAACAGTTTTTGTTGCTAAGGAGCATGATCGGTAGTGGACTTTTTACATGTTCTAATGACCAGAAGGTTCAGTTTACCACATATAGGTTCACCACACCACAGATAGGTTCACCACACCACAGATAGGTTCACCACACCACAGATAGGTTCACCACACCACAGATAGGTTCACCATACTGGCATTGACCAAAAACAAAACAAGTTGCCTGTTATTCCACAACCCCATTTCTCAAACTTCACAGTTTCAACTGAGGAAGAGGAGAGAGACAATGAAATCCAGCTTGTGGTTTGGTGGTGGGCAGCCAGCCAGCCGCCAGACCCTAACTCCAGCTCGTCAGGCCTGGAGAATGTGTGCAGGGTCTGGCTCGGGGCAAGGTAGCGCTAGTGTGTGTCCTGGAGAATGTGTGCAGAGCTCAGGCCAGCAGGATGTTGTCAACAGACCAGCACCACACATGGGTTCAAATAGTAGTTTCCTTTCATATACTTTGAGAGCAGTGGCGGTCAGTGCCGTTTTAAGATGTGGGAGGATTATTTTATTTTTTCATGAGCATGGCCTTATTTCTATTACAGCATGTTGGATGACTTGTCTTTGATATTCCGTTCACCCAGCTCAACGTAACATTGATAGGTTTAGGCTACTACATGATACTCAAATTATCCCTGTACCCATCATGAGGTTGCTATAACCTAGCCTATGAAATAAAGTCTACAATGTAGGTGCACACAGGTCGAGAGACTAATTTGAGGTGACACATGGACAGACAGTGACATTCAATACCGGCTTGCACACTCTTCCCTGCATTTAGCTGATATAGGGTGTAATCATTAGTTGCAAACGAGAGTTTCTATTGGACAAATTCAGGTATTTATCCCCATTTTGTTCCGTTTAAGAAAAGTTTTTCAACAGAATCGGCGGAATTAATACATTTGACATTTTAGTCATTTAGCAGACGCTCTTATCCAGAGCGACTTACAGTTAGCGAGTGCATACATTTTCATACTGGCCCCCCGTGGGAAACGAACCCACAACCCTGGCATTGCAAGCGCCGTGCTCTACCAACTGAGCTACAGGGGACTACATCCCTGATCACACGTAAACACAGTTCACTTTCATAGCAGCCATTTTGTATTCCTTCTCGTATCTATGCTCTCTCCTCCTCTCACCTTGTGGACTTTAATGCAGAACACATCAGCTGTATGTGACCAGGCATAAAAACCATTCCAAGCCAAACCATATCATAACCACTACACACAGCCTTTATCGTTGTCCCCATATTAGCTAAAGTAACGTCATAGTCAACATAGCTAATAGAACTAATGTGTTTGTAAACCCACTACAATCATGCAGTAACGTTACAGTGTACAGTCAGTAAGCAGTTACACAGGCGGGCCCCAGTGGCAATACATTTGTAAAACCAAAAGCTTACCTTGACTTGGAAGAGTTCCAGTTTTGTGATGGAAAGTCATAGCCAGCTAGCTAACATAGCATCCCTCTGTTTGAGCAGGGTGTTTCAGTAGGCTGAACTAGATAGCTGCATTTGCTAGCTAAGTAAGTGAAAGTTTTAAAAAATGAAGACATTTCTCTCTTGCTTGTCATTCATTTTGGAAGAAATTAATTTGTTAAACTGTTCAACTAGTCTTTTCTCTGTCTTTGAGTCAACTACTCACCGCATTTTATGCACTGCAGTGCTAGCTAGCTGTATCTTTATGCTTTCAGTACTAGATTCATTCTCTGATCCTTTGATTGGGTGGACAAAATGTCAGTTCATGCTGCAAGAGCTCTGATAGGTTGGAGGACGTCCTCCAGAAGTTGTCATAATTACTGTGTAAGTCTATGGAAGGGGGTGAGAGCCATGAGCCTCCTAGGTTTTGTATTAAAGTCAATGTACCCAGAGGAGGACAGAAGCTAGCTGTCCTCCGGCTATACCATGGTGCTACTGTACAGAGTGCGGTTGAGGCGACTGTAGATCTTCTTTGCAAAATTGTGTGTTTTAATCAATTCTTTGGTGACGTGAATATATTTAGTATAGTTTTATCTAAAAAGGATAACTTAAATGTTTTACCATTTAGATTTTTATCAAATTCACTGAGGAGGATGGCCCTCCACTTCCTCCTCTGAGTAGCTTCCACTGTTTGAGAGTTTAATTTAGCCTTTTTTTTTGGATGCCGATTCACTTTTTGAATTGAAAACTGAATGTACCCCAAACCTTCTACAAGCATCTGTCTCTAAAGCCTCTGCTCTAGAATATGACATGTGGTGCCATGTAGTAATGCCAGAAATGATATCCTTATTGTGGAGTTTCTTTACGCTTCTCAAGTTCCAATAGCATCAGTTGTTATTGGATCAGTGTAGCGGCTCTGTATCGTTCATATACAGTAACTCACCTACCCTTGGCTTTCAGATCCTGAGGCCAGACGAGCACATAGCTAAGCAGCGCTACATTGGAGCCAAGAACGTGCTGACCAAGGGAACGCCAGAATGGGTCTCCTTCGACGTAACAGAGGCAGTACGAGAGTGGCTGATGTACAGAGGTGACCATGCCAACAATTGATTAATTAATTGATTGTAGTGCTGAGCAATTTGTGCTTTTTTGAGGTCGGTTCGGTTTCGGCAAAAAAAAAAGTATTATTATAATAATAATAATAATTAAATGCACTATGCATTATGTGGATTGAATGCTGTAACAGAGAATAAAACAATTATACAAATAAAAGTCCCATGATGGTAGTGACTGACCATTACTGCTTATCACTTATTAACCATCATATATTCACATTACTTTATTACAATATTTCAGTTGTATATTACATTTGTTTTATTTGACGGCTTTATTATTTCATTCCAAGTCATCTCATCTCTATAGAGCTGCTGTCTGACAAAATCACTATTTTTAGTAATTCTTCAAAGTAAATAAGGCATACTGTCACGATCGTCTAAGGAGGAGGACCAAGGCGCAGCGTTGAGGGTGAACATATTTATTTAGAGAATGAACAGACGATAACGCGACGTCTACGGTATAACACAAACCAAATAAGAACAAGAAACCACAAATAATGAATGCCTAACGGCTACCTAAGTATGACTCCCAATCAGAGACAACGAGCTACAGCCGTCTCTGATTGGGAGCCACCCTGGCCAACATAGATATACAACAACTAGAACATAAACAAATGAAAACTCACACCCTGGCTCAACATACTAGAGTCCCCAGAGCCAGGGCGTGACACATACTTTTATGACTGCTGAATACCAACTATCAATCACTTAATGTATTTTCAGGCTCGTAAAACGCAACTGCTTTCTCTTCCTCTCGATCGCGCGTTCTCTGTTCTCAGTCTCCATGTCTGCTCCTCACAGACCTGACAAGTTTAAGCGGCCGTGCAATGGATTATTGTCGTAGTTAATTACCACATTTCCTGCATTAAACTATGTATACGGAACAAAAATATAAAACACAACGTGCAACAATTTCAACGATTTTACAGTTAATATAAGGAAATCAGTCAATTGAAATAAATTCATTAGGCCCTAATCTATGGATTTCACATGACTGGGCAGGGGTGCAGCCGTGGGTGGGCCTGGGAGGGCATAGGCCCACCCACTGGGGAGCCAGGCTCAGCCAATCAGAATATGTTTTTACCCACAATAGGGTTTTATTACAGACAGAAATACTCCTCAGTTTCATCAGATGTCTGGGTGGCTGGTCTCAGACGATCCCGCAGGTGAAGAAGTCAGATGTGGAGGTCCTGGGCTGGCGTCGTTACACGTGGTCTGCGGTTGTGAGGCCGGTTGAACGTACTGCCAAATTCTCTAAAACAACGTTGCCGGCTTATGGTAGAGAAATGAACATTAAATTCTCTGGCAACAGCTCTGGTGGACATTCCTACAGTCTGCATGCCAATTGCATGCTCCCTCAAAACTTGAGACATCTGTGGCATTGTGTTGTGTGACAAAACTGCACATTTTAGAGGGGCCTTTTATTGTCCCCAACGCAAGATGCACTTGTATAATGATCATGCTGTTTAATCAGCTTCTTGATATGCCACACCTGTCAGGTGGATGGATTATTTTAGCAAAGGGGAAATGCTCACTAACAAGGATGTAAACACAATTTAAGATAATTATATTTTTGTGCATATGGAACATTTCTGGGATCTTTTATTTCAGCTCATGAAACATGGGACCAACACTTTACATCTTGCGTTTATATTTTTGTTCAGTATAGAATATTGGCCTTTTGGAAACTCCAACTCCCTAATACATCGCACAGTTCAGGCTTGATCTGATTTATCTCTACAGAAACTGCACACAGAGCTCACAGAAAGAAAAAAAAACGAACAAAATGGAATTCAGATAATTGAACCGACGTCGGTGAATTCGTTTGTTAAAAACCGAAGAATTACCAAAATGTCGGTTAATCGCTAAGCACTAATTGATTGACGTGATGCCTATCTCCTCTCAGAGACCAACCTGGGTCTGGAGATCAGCGTGCACTGCCCCTGCCACACCTTCAACCCCAACGGTGACATCATCGACAATGTGAACGAAGTGCTGGAGGTCAAGTTCAAAGGTCAGTAGGCATAACATTCTCTTCCTTGTGAGGTCTTTTCCGGGAAAACATCAAGTCCTTTGTTGTTCCCACCCAATTACTGACAGCTTCCTGAGTCCCCCACATACTGACAGCTTCCTGAGTCCCCCACATACTGACAGCTTCCTGAGTCCCCCACATACTGACAGCTTCCTGAGTCCCCCACATACTGACAGCTTCCTGAGTCCCCACATACTGACAGCTTCCTGAGTCCCCCACATACTGACAGCTTCCTGAGTCCCCCACATACTGACAGCTTCCTGAGTCCCCCACATACTGACAGCTTCCTGAGTCCCCCACATACTGACAGCTTCCTGAGTCCCCCACATACTGACAGCTTCCTGAGTCCCCCACATACTGACAGCTTCCTGAGTCCCCCACATACTGACAGCTTCCTGAGTCCCCCACATACTGACAGCTTCCTGAGTCCCCCACATACTGACAGCTTCCTGAGTCCCCCACATACTGACAGCTTCCTGAGTCCCCCACATACTGACAGCTTCCTGAGTCCCCCCACATACTGACAGCTTCCTGAGTCCCCCACATACTGACAGCTTCCTGAGTCCCCCCACATACTGACAGCTTCCTGAGTCCCCCACATACTGACAGCTTCCTGAGTCCCCCACATACTGACAGCTTCCTGAGTCCCCCACATACTGACAGCTTCCTGAGTCCCCCACATACTGACAGTCCCCCCACATACTGACAGCTTCCTGAGTCCCCCACATACTGACAGCTTCCTGAGTCCCCCACATACTGACAGCTTCCTGCGTCCCCCCCCCACATACTGACAGCTTCCTGAGTCCCCCCCACATACTGACAGCTTCCTGAGTCCCCCACATACTGACAGCTTCCTGAGTCCCCCACATACTGACAGCTTCCTGAGTCCCCCCACATACTGACAGCTTCCTGAGTCCCCCACATACTGACAGCTTCCTGAGTCCCCCCACATACTGACAGCTTCCTGAGTCCCCCACATACTGACAGCTTCTGAGTCCCCCACATACTGACAAGCTTCCTGAGTCCCCCCACATACTGACAGCTTCCTGAGTCCCCCACATACTGACAGCTTCCTGAGTCCCCCACATACTGAACAAAGGCTCCTGAGTCCCCCACTACTGACAGCTTCCTGAGTCCCCCACATACTGACAGCTTCCTGAGTCCCCCACATACTGACAGCTTCTGAGTCCCCCACATACTGACAGCTTCCTGAGTCCCCCACATACTGACAGCTTCCTGAGTCCCCCACATACTGACAGCTTCCTGAGTCCCCCACATACTGACAGCTTCCTGAGTCCCCCACATACTGACAGCTTCCTGAGTCCCCCACATACTGACAGCTTCCTGAGTCCCCACATACTGACAGCTTCCTGAGTCCCCCACATACTGACAGCTTCCTGAGTCCCCCACATACTGACAGCTTCCTGAGTCCCCCACATACTGACAGCTTCCTGAGTCCCCCACATACTGACAGCTTCCTGAGTCCCCCCACATACTGACAGCTTCCTGAGTCCCCCACATACTGACAGCTTCCTGAGTCCCCCACATACTGACAGCTTCCTGAGTCCCCCCACATACTGACAGCTTCCTGAGTCCCCCACATACTGACAGCTTCCTGAGTCCCCCACATACTGACAGCTTCCTGAGTCCCCCACATACTGACAGCTTCCTGAGTCCCCCACATACTGACAGCTTCTGAGTCCCCCCACATACTGACAGCTTCTGAGTCTGAGTCCCCCAATACTGACAGTTCATGGAGTCCCCCAACATACTGACAGCTTCATGATCCCCCACATACTGACAGCTTCCTGAGTCCCCCCACATACTGACAGGCTTCCTGAGTCCCCCACATACTGACAGCTTCCTGAGTCCCCCCAACATACTGACAGCTTCCTGAGTCCCCCACATACTGACAGCTTCCTGAGTCCCCCCACATACTGACAGCTTCCTGAGTCCCCACATACTGACAGCTTCCTGAGTCCCCCACATACTGACAGCTTCCTGGTCCCCCACATACTGACAGCTTCCTGAGTCCCCCACATACTGACAGCTTCCTGAGGCCCCCACATACTGAAGCTTTCCTGAGTCCCCACATACTGACAGCTTCCTGAGTCCCCCACATACTGACAGCTTCTGAGTCCCCCACATACTGACAGCTTCCTGATTCCCCACATACTGACAGCTTCCTGAGTCCCCACATACTGACAGCTTCCTGAGTCCCCCACCTACTGACAGCTTCCTGAGTCCCCCACATACTGACAGCTTCCTGAGTCCCCCAATACTGACAGCTTCCTGAGTCCCCCCATATACTGACAGACTTCCTGAGTCCCCCACATACTGACAGCTTCCTGAGTCCCCCACATACTGACAGCTTCCTGAGTCCCCCCACATACTGACAGCTTCCTGAGTCCCCCACATACTGACAGCTTCCTGAGTCCCCCCATATACTGACAGCTTCCTGAGTCCCCCACATTACTGACAGCCTTCCTGAGTCCCCCACATACTGACAGCTTCCTGAGTCCCCCACATACTGACAGCTTCCTGAGTCCCCCACATACTGACAGCTTCCTGAGTCCCCCCACATAATGACAGCTTCCTGAGTCCCCCACATACTGACAGCTTCCTGAGTCCCCCACATACTGACAGCTTCCTGAGTCCCCCACATACTGACAGCTTCCTGAGTCCCCCACATACTGACAGCTTATCCTGATCCTGAGTCCCCCACATACTGACAGCTTCCTGAGTCCCCCACATACTGACAGCTTCCTGAGTCCCCCACATACTGACAGCTTCCTGAGTCCCCCACATACTGACAGCTTCCTGAGTCCCCCACATACTGACAGCTTCCTGAGTCCCCCACATACTGACAGCTTCCTGAGTCCCCCAACATACTGACAGCTTCCTGAGTCCCCCACATTACTGACAGCTTTCCTGAGTCCCCCCACATACTGACAGCTTCCTGAGTCCCCCCACATACTGACAGCTCCCTGAGTCCCCCCACATACTGACAGCTTCCTGAGTCCCCCACCATACTGACAGCTTCTGAGTCCCCCACATACTGACAGCTTCCTGAGTCCCCCACATACTGACAGCTTCCTGAGTCCCCCACATACTGACAGCTTCCTGAGTCCCCCACATACATGACAGCTTCCTGAGTCCCCCCACATACTGACAGCTTCCTGAGTCCCCCACCATTACTGACAGCTTCCTGAGTCCCCCCACCATACTGACAGCTTCCTGAGTCCCCACATACTGACAGCTTCCTGAGTCCCCCACATACTGACAGCTTCCTGAGTCCCGCACATACTGACAGCTTCCTGAGCTGCATCTGTGTTCCTTTTGACAAACTGAACTTTGAACTGACATTCAAAAAACACTAACATTTTAAAAAGGCTTTACAAGACAAAGTCACAGAAGGACTAGCTCAGTAACTGAGCAGCAGGCCAGGAGGAAGGCCTATGTTATCCTGGGGGACAGCACCCATGTCCTCAACCCGCAGTTCAAATTGCTCCCCCTTGGACGCCGCCTGCGCTGTCTGAAGTGCTCCACCAATAGGAGCAGGGCCTCGTTTCAGCCCGAGGCCATCCACCTGGTTAACAGGACCATCAAGGAAGATCTAGGGACAATTCTAGAGATAGTTTAACCCTGACATTAATTAACAACTGTGGCTTCCGTGAACTTTTTAGTTTCTTAAATTGCACCATGCACATTTTAATTGATGCCTCAAGTGTTGATATTGTAGTTCTTATACTGCCCATCTGTGTGTGTGTGTGTGTGTGTGTGTGTGTACTATTTGAACGAATTGCCTCTCTGGGATTAATAAAGTTGTATTGTAATGACTGACCTTTGACCTCTCTCTCTCTCTGCTGCAGGGGAGAAACATACAAAATGTCTGACATGTACTGGCTGATATGTAATGACTGACCTCTGACCTCTCTGCTGCAGGTGTGGAAGAGGAGTACGAGGAGCTGGGTCGTTGGGACCTGGGTCGTCTGAAGAAGAGGAAGGAGCAGCACCTGCCTCACCTCCTCCTCATGATGATCCCTCCTCACCGCCTCGACTCACAGCCACGCAGACGCAAACGGGCCCTGGACACCAACTACTGTTTCTCGTAAGGACCCTTACTGAAACTGAAACTGTTGTCACTTCTGTTTCCACCCGTCGGTTGTCAAATCCTGAAAGGCGCCTTAGACTCTGTGGGGTTTCTAAACAAGTCAGCAGTAGTTTCTTGTACATAAACAACAACAACAGCAGAAGGAGGATCAATGAGCTAACCAACCTTCCCATATGTTCAATCTGAAACCATTCTACATGTGTTGGTTGATCAAGACGAGATAAACTTGAATAACTTAATTGCAACTTCAGCTGACTAACTAAAGTTGTGTGTTAACAAGAAAAATCTTGAGTTGTAACTGAACAGTTATCAAAGCTGGCTACCTAGCTCATTGTTGTATAAGTGACAAGGTATGGGGTTCGTTTCCCACGGGGGGGGGGGGCGCAGTATGAAAAATTAATGCACTCACTAACTGTAAGTCGCTCTGGATAAGAGCGTCTGCAAAATGACTAAAATGTAAATGTATGAGTGATTCACCATAGTTAGTTGTGCTCCTTTCCCAGCACTGTTGAGGAGAACTGCTGTGTTCGTCGTCTCTACATCGACTTCCGTCGGGACCTGGACTGGAAGTGGATCCACGAGCCTAAAGGATACTTCGCTAACTACTGCTCTGGACCCTGCCCCTACCTGAGGAGCTCCGACACCACACACACACAGGTGAGGGCAATCTGACACCACTCACACACACACACACACAGGTGAGGGCAATCTAACACCACTCACACACACACACACAGGTGAGGGCAATCTAACACCACTCACACACACACACACAGGTGAGGGCAATTGGCGCAAATAACCACAAGGCTATAATGACAAAAAAAAGACAGGCTAGCTAGGTAGCTGCTCAATAGGTACAGTGAGACAGCAAAATTACATCATACACAGAACTCAACCAGAATAAAATTCTGATCTGCCAGGATTGACTTATTTACGCAATTTAGTTTAACAGGGACAGTTGCACATTAATCAACATTAATCCACATTTCAGCTTCCACATCAGAAACACTTAAATGTCTCCTTCAGGGACTAAAATTAACACCCGCCACCTGCCAAATGCGGGTAGGTTTTTGGCTTTTATTTTTTATTTCTTACCTTTATTTAACTAGGCAAGTTACACGCATTGGCGGGTAAGATGTCTATTTCACCAGCCACGTTGGCGGGTGCTCAGGGCTCCACCGTCCCGAGCATTTCACTTGCATTTGTGAATAAAAAGTCAAGTATGATCACATTTATAGTAAAATAAAATGCTGCGGTAGCTGTTCTCAAAGTATATCCGCTGTGTTGTTTCATAGCTGGTAAATTAATCGCACAAAGTCAAATAACTACGAATCCTATATAGCCTTTTCCACCTCGCTCTGCAACACTGCCTGGCTGGGGGCTGTGCGCACCGGAAGAGCTGAGTGAGATTCATTTTTAGAAGCGCTGTGCACAGGCATAAAAATTGGTTTAATTTACTTGAAACTAAAGTCTACTGAAGTGAGACTTTGTCCTTGTGTTTCTTGGCTATTTACATTGTTTTGTTCACAAGCTAGGTTGTTTTTCTATGTTTGCGTTTCAACTGCTAGGGAAGAGATGACGATGCTTCTACTAGTCAGACTCAATCTCACAGGCACAAACATGACTCCAGTCGCGCTACCACGGTAACCTCCCGCCCTTAAAGGGACAGGTGAACATATTTTGTCTCATCTGTGATATTTTGGTTAAAAGACTCAGGTCACAAAAAATGTAATTATTCAATATACCACATTAGTTACTTCTTACTAGTAATACATTTATTGTTTTAGAAAAATTACAAAGCATGTTCATCTGTTTTTTTTTTTGTGTGTGTGTTTTTGTTGGTGTAATTTTAGAAGCAGAAAAATATTTGGGCTGGTAAAACATCTGAATGATATTTTATGCCCTGGTCTCTTTCCTGTCCATCCATAGCTGCTGAGCCTGTATAACACTCTGAACCCAGAGGCCTCAGCGTCTCCCTGCTGCGTTCCCCAGGACCTGGAGCCTCTTACCATCCTCTACTACTCTGGACGCACCCCCAAAGTAGAGCAGCTATCCAACATGATCGTCAAGTCCTGCAAATGCAGCTGAGGAGGCCGGGAGTAGGTCCGAAGCCTGGGAGTAGGGTAGGGGGAATGGCCCACGTAGGGGGCCTGTAGTGGGACACTAGAGCCAGCCAGCCTGCCTACCTGTAGAGGACCAGACTACCACCATCCAGGTTATTTGTATTCATCATGTTAGACTTTGGCATCCTAACTTCTTCCTTCTTCACTCTTTTTTTTTTTATTTGTTCAGTTTAGAGAGTTAGTAGTTTCCTTTTAAAGTTTTCTAACTGGGTTTCCTTCCCTTCCTACAAACAAACTGGGGGGGGGGGGAGGGGGGGGGCGACCGACACAGCAGTGACCATATTTTGTTTGCTTCTATTGCAAACGGAGTGGAGGGAGGAGGGACCTTTATGGATGGAGGAGGATATTATTGTAGATACTAAACATTAAACACACTGCTGCTCTCTTTGAAGACTTTCTTGACAGGTTAAAAAAAAAAAAAAAAAAAAAAAAGGGACCCAAACACAATATGCTGGAAAACATTGATCTGAAAAAACTATTACGTAACAGATTTTGTGAGATATTGCTTTTTTTCTTTAAATGGCAGATATTTCCTCTGGTGTTGTCATACGGTGTCATACGATTGATGTAATGTTAATGTGTGTCTACGTCTGTTACCTCTGGAATTACTTTTATATTACACTGTGGTCCTCATCAAAAATGTTTTACTGGTGATTTTGAAGACATACTCTATGTTCACGCCAGATTTTGCTATTTGAGAAGATGAGAAATTAAGCAAAGACATGATGGCTGGCACAGTTGATCGTCTTGTATTTTGGTGTTTAAAAAAAAAAAAAAATCCATAAGAGTAGTCAGTGCATTGGAGTCGTTGTCTCCCTTGAACCGAAGCCTCAACACCAAACCAAATCACAAGCCATGTTTGTTAAAGTGCCTAGAGGTCACCACCCACAATGCAACAGTCACATTACGACTTAGAGATGGAGGCCTCCGAGGACCCAAAAACCTGTTTATAGCAAGGGCAGCGCCATTGAGGAATTTCACAATTTTAAAGTAGTCATCTGGGTGGCACTTCAAAACATTGGCTTTATACCTGTTCAAACAACACCCTCCAGGTGGCAGTATGCACCCTTTCAGTTGGTTTACCAACTCGTAGATATAGTAGAAGAATAAAATCTACTACTTCAAAATGGAGATGGCCTGAATGGCACATGCTGTCACAGACACCATAATGGGACAGATACAAAGAAGAGTCGTCTAACTATCTCCATGCATTAGGAGAAGAGAGTGGCCGAATCCCAAATCACCCCTTCCCCTCGCCCATTCGGACCTCCTCCCAAAGCTGAGGGAGTGAAAATGATCGATGGTGTAGGGGCTAATTAGCCCCTCCGGTAGGCACTTCGACTGAGCATTGCAACGCTGCCGGCTTCATAGCGAAGTGGAATCCCATAATGCACTGCGTTATTTTTAATGTAAAAAATAATAATGGAGAGGCGTCCATACAAAAGAATGGAGAGGCGTGCCTAATTATATGACACGTGCATTTGTTTATGTCTGATGTTGAGACTTGACACATGTAACAGATTAAGTACTTCCCCAAATCAATGTTACTGTTTATATTTTGTAGATGACGGGGGATTTGTTCATTTGAATCTCATGCTCATTTTATTATTTAAAAGTGGAACATGAATTGCATCATTCAAGTCACTAGTGTGTCCCGAAGTTAATGGGTTTATTGATCCCCTCGCCACTGAAGTCACCCTCAGAGTTTCGTCAGCAACACGTGACAACAGAGGGGCCTCGGAGCGAGTTGGTGACCTCAGCCCGCCCTCCTGTCGTCTTACCCATCCTCCTGCAGTCTTACCCATCCTCCTGCAGTCTTACCCATCCTCCTGCAGTCTTACCCATCCTCCTGTCGTCTTACCCATCCTCCTGTCGTCTTACCCATCCTCCTGCAGTCTTACCCATCCTCCTGCAGTCTTACCCATCCTCTGCAGTCTTACCCATCCTCCTGCAGTCTTACCCATCCTCCTGTCGTCTTACCCATCCTCCTGCAGTCTTACCCACCTCACTTGTGTCTTACCCATCCTACTGTCGTTTACCCATCCTCTGCAGTCTTAACCATCCTCTGCAGTCTACCCATCCTCTGTGTCTTACCCACTCCTGCAGTTAGGCATCTCCTGCAGTCTTACCCATCATCCTGGTCGTCTTACCCATCTCATGCGAGTCTTACCCACCTCCTGCAGTTTACCCATCCTCCGCAGTCTTACCCATCCTCTGAAGGCTGACAGAGGCAGTTGGGCTTCCACAAACTGCACTCTTTCATTCCTCCTCATTACCTGCTCCTCCCGCTGTTTGTTTGAGGCCCGGTGGAAAGGAGGAGAGTAGGGGGGGAGAGGGAGAAGTAGGGGAGGAAGGGAGGGAGGGGGAGAAGGAGGGGGAGGGGGAGGGGAGGAGGGGAGAGGGGGAGAGGGGGGAGGGGAGGGGGGGGGGGGGAGGAGGGGGAGGGGGAGGGAGAGGAGAGGGGAGGGAGGGAGGAGAGGAGGGGAGGAGAGAGGGGAGGGGGGAGGGAAGAGGGGGGAGAGGGAGAGGGGAGAGGGCGAGGGAAAGGGGGGGAGAGGGAAAGGAGGGGGAGAGGGAGGGGAGAGGGAGAAGTGACATGACAGCAGCTCAACAGTTTTTCCCCAAGTCAGCAGTAAGATTATCGTGAAGGCCAACCATCCCTCACTCCATCTCCCCTTTCTCTCTCATTGGCTCCCCTGTCATCTCTCTCCACCCTAGCTCCAGCCCGGCCTATAGTGAGGAGGAATGTTATCTAGCCTTGAGACTAAACAGGTGGTTGTGGTCAAAGAGAAGAATCTGTACAACAACACTTCTTCCAATGGAAAA